CCATTAAACCTATCAATACATGAAAACATTTTAAATGAACACATATTTTTAACCTGATATAGGGAATACATACCTGTTCAACATCAAAGAGAGAAAATGTTCAAAACTCTACCCTCGACCAGAATCCGCCTAACATAAAAAGACAACGTGAGCTTCATACAAGAGGATAGAATGATGATTGCTAACTTACAGCTAAACAGAACACGAGGTTAGCTAAGTTAGCAATTTCTCAACTCTCAAAAATGGCTAAATTCACGACACAGCTTGATTAAATGTACGTACACTCATCATATATATACATACAAGTTACTATGTGCACTGAAACGTTTTAGTTTTAACAGGTATATCAAGTTTATATCACGCCGAAGTGAATACATACCTCTCCCAGCCGAGTACAATGCAGACTGAGAAAAGCATGACCTCCCTCCGCATATAACCAAACCAACTCTAGAGGGCGCACTTACACAACTAACTCTCCCAATATCTGTAGACTACACGAAATGCTGAACAATACAATATTTTGGTGAAATCAACTCACAAAATAAAATAAAAAATAGAAAATGAACGGTTGCAAAAATCTGTAATTCTTTGACCTGTTACACTGGACTGCACACAAGACCCAAATGCAGTTTAGAGTTCTCATCAGAAACAAAAATTCGATCCCGGTCCGAAAAAAGCCCCGTTAGCTGAAGCCCGAGCCCAGGGCTGGTCCGACATTAAATGAGCCCGAACCTGAAAAAAAAAGGCAGATTTCTAGAAAACACTAGCTGGCTATATTGATTTAAACTGGTGTCGAGGACAACTTGGCGGAGGCGGGCGGCAGCTGAGTGGGAGACGAGGAAGCAGCCATTGGTCCTAGAAAAAGCACAGAGAAAGGAAAACTCACCTTAGTTATGTTCAACTGAATTATGGAAATATTGTAATAAAGTAGACTACTGCAATTGAAGGCATGTATCAAATTCTTACTTATACTGAAAGTCCCAAAGTCATATCCTACCGGTCTACTAATGTAAAGCAATAGTAGTCCGTTTTGATTGGGACGGCAGCATAGCGCTGCTTTGAGACAAGGGTCAGGGATTCGTCTAGATAAATCAATCCATGTCAGATTTTTGTTTTCAGTGAATCTCCGTTTGGATATTTGGTAACAATTAGGCTGGGGAAATGTTACCTGCTGGAAAATCTGCTGATGTAAAAAGGGCTTTATAAATCAATTTGGTTGATTGATAGCTAAATTGAGGTGAGTGCAAATTATATTTATTATAGTTTACTTTATCCTGTTTATTAACAGATCAGAACATTTTGCTAGCATGACATACAAGTGGATGTTGCTCTTCAGCCTGTCCTACTCCCGACCAAAATCCTGTGACTTGTCTGATAATCAGTCGTGATTTAGTTTCACCTGAATCTCTGTCAGTATATTTGGGTAATTGGTCTCTGGCTGGACAAGTGGAAGTGGTAACTCATCAATTAGTTTGCTCATCAATCACTGTTCAGAAACATTAAGCATGCAATCATGTAGCCTAAAGCAAGTCTATTATTTATTTATTGACTCGCGTAGTAGCCTTTATAGATCCTAGGCTATTTTCATATCGTCCCAATCCCACTGAAACCCTAAATCCGGACTCGCATGAACATTCCTGACTTTATTCTGTAATCCATAGGCTGCATTCTCAAAATACCGCTATAACATTTCCCATGCTTCTCTGTGCTGTCTCCTATTGCTGGCCATATGAGCGCTTCGGTAGAGAACGTGTGATCAACAAATGGTATGAGAGTAGATATGGATTTTGTTGTTTTTAAACAGAGTTGGTCCCCGTTAAGATACCTTGATATTTAAACTATTTACTCTCTTCATCTCCCCGTTATTCATGAGCTGATCTGCTCTCTGTATAATCATCAACTCGTTTTGACCAAATAGGAGATATTCTGTTATTCGTAGGAGGTTATCTAGCAAGTTTAGCAACTTTAGTCATTTGACTTTTGTTTGACTGCCGTTACAAAGTGTGTATGATTCGACAACGCTATAGCCTACTCGGGGTGCACTCTGCTCTGTGTCGAGACAGCCAGGCCTACTGCTGAAACGCGCTGAATTAATTGAGGACCATGATAATGCTTGAAATTTATGAACGGCCTGTTTCGCAATTCACAACAATGCCATTGGCGATCAAAGTTACGCTATCATTACTAAATATCAGCTTCACTTGCTGTGTAATCTTTACATGGTGGCGCAGCAAAAATCTTATTTTGGGAGAACCCTGGCATAGTGACCACATCATGGTTTTCAACGCTTTAAATGGGCACGTCAGATTTTTGCGGTACTTGGTAGATTTTCAGAAAAATTTGAATCCCTAGTGGAGGCCAGTAGGAAGGAGGACTGGGCAGTGACTGGTTATAGTGGAGGCCAGTAGGAAGGAGGACTGGGCAGTGACTGGTTATAGTGGAGGCCAGTAGGAAGGAGGACTGGGCAGTGACTGGTTATAGTGGAGGCCAGTAGGAAGGAGGACTGGGCAGTGACTGGTTATAGTGGAGGCCAGTAGGAAGGAGGACTGGGCATTGACTGGTTATAGTGGGAGGCCAGTAGGAAGGAGGACTGGCATGACTGGTTATGTGGAGGCCAGTAGGAAGGAGGATGGCATGATTATAGTGGAGGCCAGTAGAAGGAGGACTGGGGCAGTGACTGGTTATAGTGGAGGCCAGTAGGAAGGAGGACTGGGCAGTGACTGGTTATAGTGGAGGCCAGTAGGAAGGAGGACTTGGCAGAGGAACAGCAGTAGACAGACAGACATGAGAGATGATTTCTCTCTAAATGAGATGAACACCAGGTCAGAACCAGGTCAGGACTCCTGAAAGACATACAGTAGCGCTAAGTCTTGTCCAGTCATTTACAAACTGAAAATCATGTGAAGTACTGTATATTTAGTTGGGCTAAATTGGGTCGCCTTTCATCTGTTTGAAGCGGGGTGCAGCAGCACTGTCGATCATATCCAGGGTATTGTAATACACTGCTCAAAAAAATAAAAGGGAACACTTAAACAACACAACGTAACTCCAAGTCAATCACACTTCTGTGAAATCAAACTGTCCACTTAGGAAGCAACACTGATTGACAATAAATTTCACATGCTGTTGTACAAATGGAATAGACAACAGGTAGAAATTATAGGCAATTAGCAAGACACCCCCAATAAAGGACTGGTTTTGCAGGTGGTGACCACAGACCACTTCTCAGTTATTATGCTTCCTGGCTGATGTTTTGGTCACTTTTGAATGCTGGCAGGGCTTTCACTCTAGTGGTAGCATGAAACGGAGTCTACAACCCACACAAGTGGCTCAGGTAGTGCAGCTCATCCAGGATGGCAGGCCAGTACATCAGGAGACGTGGAAGAGGCTGTAGGAGGGCAACAACCCAGCAGCAGGACTGCTACCTCCGCCTTTGTGCAAGGAGGAGCAGGAGGAGCACTGCCAGAGCCCTGCAAAATGACCTCCAGCAGGCCACAAATGTGCATGTGTCTGCTCAAACGGTCAGAAACAGACTCCATGAGGGTGGTATGAAGGCCCAACGTCCACAGGTGGGGGTTGTGCTTACAGCCCAACACCGTGCAGGACGTTTGGCATTTGCCAGAGAACACCAAGATTGGCAAATTCGCCACTGGCGCCCTGTGCTCTTCACAGATGAAAGCAGGTTCACACTGAGCACATGTGACAGACGTGACAGAGTCTGGAGACGCCGTGGAGAACGTTCTGCTGCCTGCAACATCCTCCAGCATGACCGGTTTGGCGGTGGGTCAGTCATGGTGTGGGGTGGCATTTCTTTGGGGGGCCGCACGTGTGCTCGCCAGAGGTAGCCTGACTGCCATTAGGTACCGAGATGAGATCCTCAGACCCCTTGTGAGACCATATGCTGGTGCGGTTGGCCCTGGGTTCCTCCTAATGCAAGACAATGCTAGACCTCATGTGGCTGGAGTGTGTCAGCAGTTCCTGCAAGAGGAAGGCATTGATGCTATGGACTGGCCCGCCCGTTCCCCAGACCTGAATCCAATTGAGCACATCTGGGACATCATGTCTCGCTCCATCCACCAACATCACGTTGCACCACAGACTGTCCAGGAGTTGGCGGGTGCTTTAGTCCAGGTCTGGGAGGAGATCCCTCAGGAGACCATCCGCCACCTCATCAGGAGCATGCCCAGGTGTTGTAGGGAGGTCATACAGGCACGTGGAGGCCACACACACTACTGAGCCTCATTTTGACTTGTTTTAAGGACATTACATCAAAGTTGGATCAGCCTGTAGTGTGGTTTTCCACTTTAATTTTGAGGGTGACTCCAAATCCAGACCTCCATGGGTTGATACATTTGATTTCCATTGATAATTTTTGTGTGATTTTGTTGTCAGCACATTCAACTATGTAAAGAAAAAAGTATTTAATAAGATTATTTCATTCATTCAGATCTAGGATGTGTTATTTTAGTGTTCCCTTTATTTTTTGGAGCAGTGTATTACTGCTCAAAAATAGACATCAGTGATCTGAAACTCATCAGAATAGGAAATAGGATAGCATTATTAAAATTCAGATTACACACCACCCTCGACCCTACACACCACCGTCGACCATCACCCCCACCAGTCGACCCCCACCCCCCATAGACCTACACACCACCCGTCAGACCCTAACCCCCCACCAGTCGACCCTACACCACCACCAGCGACCATCACCACCACCATGACCATAAGCACCAGCACCACCCGTGACAACACCCCCACCAGTCAGACCATACACCAACCGTCAGACCCTACACCCCCACCGTCAGAAATAACCCCACCAGTAGACCATACACCACCACCAGTCAACCATACACCACCACAGTCAGACCATACACCCCCAGTCCCATACACCACCACCAGTCAGACCATAACACCACCAGGGCCCAACCCCCTCACCACCACCAGTCAGCCATACCCACCACCCTCCGACCATACACCACCCCAGTCAGACCTACACCAACCACCAGTCAGACCAATACACCAACCACCAGTCAGGACCATACACCACCACCAGTCAGGACCATACACCACCACAGTCAGACCATACACCACCACCAGTCAGACCATACACCACCACAGTCAGACATACACCCACCACCAGTCAGACCATACACCACCACCAGTCAGACCCATACACCACCACCAGTCCAGACCATACACCACCACCAGTCAGCCATACACCACCACCCAGTCAGACCATACACCACCACCAGTCAGACCATACACACCCACCAGTCAGACCATACACCACCACCAGTCAGACCATACACCACACCAGTCAGACCATCACACCACCAGTCAGACCATACACCACCACCAGTCAGACCATACACCACCACAGTCAGACCATACACCCACGTCAGACCATCACACACCAGTCAGACCATTACACCACCACCAGTCAGACCATACACCACCACAGTCAGACCATACACCACCACCAGTCAGACATACCACCACCACCAGTCAGGACCACTACACCACCCACAGTCGACCAACACCACCCACCAGTCAGACCATACACCACCACCAGTCAGACCATACACCCACCACCAGTCAGACATACACCACCACCAGTCAGACCATACACCACCACCAGTCAGACCATACACCACCACCAGTCAGGACATACACACCCACCAGTCAGACCATACACCACCACCAGTCAGACCCATACACCCCAACCAGTCAGTACCATTACACCACCACCAGTCAGCACCATACACCACCACCAGTCAGCCCATTAAACCCCACCCAGTTCAGGACCATTAACACCACCAGTTCAGACCATACACCACCACCATTCGGACCATACAGCACCAACCAGTCAGCCCTACAGCACCCAGTCTAGCCAACAGCACCACCAGTCAGGACCATACAACCGTCAGGACCTACCCCCCAGTCAGACCATACACCACCACCAGTCAGACCATCACCACCACCAGTCAGACATACACCACCACCAGTCAGACATACCCCACCCAGTCAGGACCATACACCACCACCAGTCAGACCATACACACCCACCAGTCAGACCATTCACCACACCAGTCAGACCATACACCCACCACCAGTCAGACCATACACCACCAACCAGTCAGACCCTTACACCAACACACCAGTTTTTTCACACCCCAGTACAGCCATACACCACCCAGTCAGGACCATTACAGCCACCACCAGTCAGGACAATACACCACCACCCGTCAGACCATACAACCACCACCAGTCAGACCATACACCACCACCCAGTCAGACCATCACCCCACCAACCAGTCAGGACCATACACCACCACCATGTCAGACCCATACACCACCCACCAGGTCAGGACCCATAACCCACCAGCCGAGTTCCAGACCATACACCACCACCAGTCAGACCATACCACCACCCACCAGTCAGGACCATACAGGCACCACCAGTCAGACCATACACCACCACCAGTCAGACCATACACCACCACCAGTCAGACCTACACCCACCACCAGTCAGACCATACACCACCACCAGTCAGACCATACACCACCACCAGTCAGACCATACACCACCACCAGTCAGACCATACACCACCACCAGTCAGACCATACACCACCACCAGTCAGACCATACACCACCACCAGTCAGACCATACACCACCACCAGTCAGACCATACACCCCCCACCAGTCAGACCATACACCCACCACCAGTCAGACCATACACCACCACCAGTCAGACCATACACCACACCAGTCAGACCATACACCACCACCAGTCAGACCATACACCACCACCAGTCAGACCATACACCACCACCAGTCAGACCATACACCACCACCAGTCAGACCATACACCACCACCAGTCAGACCATACACCACCACCAGTCAGACCATACACCACCACCAGTCAGACCATACACCACCACAGTCAGACCATACACCACCACCAGTCAGACCATACACCACCACCAGTCAGACCATACACCACCACCAGTCAGACCATACACCACCACCAGTCAGACCATACACCACCACCAGTCAGACCATACACCACCACCAGTCAGACCATACACCACCACCAGTCAGACCATACCACCACCACCAGTCAGACCATACACCACCACCAGTTTCAGACCATACACCACCACCAGTCAGACATACACCCCCAGTCCGAACCATACCCCACCACCAGTCAGACCATACACCACCACCAGTCAGGGACCCATGAACCACCACCAGTCAGACTCATACACCACCACCAGTAAGAAATACACCCCACCGCAGTCAGGACCATACACCCACCACCAGTAAGACCATACAACCACCACCAGTAAGACCATACACACCACCAGTCAGACATACACCACCACAGTCAGACTAATACACCACCACCAGTCATCCAGACCTACACCACCACCAGTCAGACCATACAGCACCACCAGTCAGGACATACACCAAACCAGCCAGACCATACACACCACCAGTCGACCATACACCACCACCAGTCTAGGACATACACCACCACCAGGTCAGACCATACACCACCAACAGTCAGACCCATACCCCCACACCAGTCAGACAATACACCAACCACAGTCAGACATACACCACCACCAGTCAGACCATTCACCACCAGTCAGCCAGACCTACCACCACCAGTCAGACCAACACCACCAGTCAGACCATTACACCACCAACAGTCAAGACCATACACCACACCAGTCAGACCATACACCACCACCAGTCAGGACCATACACCACCACCAGTTCCCATACACCACCACCAGTCAGACCATACAGACCCACCAGTCAATACACCATCGCATTTCAGGTTCCATAACCCTGCAGCTCTTCTCTTCCAGGGGTAAAGCATGTCACCAAATATCCATTTTGATTAAATATACTATTTATTACCTAGTAAAAAGGATACAAAATCCTAACAATACAGTCAGTTAATTTCATATTCCTACATATAAAAAACATTTGCGCTATTGAACACAATGATACTCTCAAAGAGATACTTGACAAACACTCCCTCTGTCCAACTCAGGAAATAGAGACTAATGGAAGAACTGGCTGTTCACCGACAGTTTCCTCATCTGAAATGATGTGAAAGCATAGGTAGCTAATGCTGGCAGTACAAGTGATGCTAATGCTGGCAGTACAAGTGATGCTAATGCTGGTAGTACAAGTGATGCTAATGCTGGCAGTACAAGTGATGCTAATGCTGGCAGTACAAGAGATGCTAATGCTGACAGTACAAGTGATGCTAATGCTGGCAGTACAAGAGATGCTAATGCTGGCAGTACAAGAGATGCTAATGCTGGCAGTACAAGTGATGCTAATGCTGGCAGTACAAGTGATGCTAATGCTGACAGTACACGAGATGCTAATGCAGGCAGTACACGAGATGCTAATGCTGGCAGTACAAGAGATGCTAATGCTGGCAGTACAAGAGATGCTAATGCTGGCAGTTCAAGAGATAGCAAAAGAGAGCGAGAGAAATGAGTGAAAGAGATCATGACAGAGAGAGCGAGAGAAGTGGGAAAGATATCAATGCTAGGTTTAATGGAGCCCTTTATAACTGTCACATTGTGGTTCTTCAGCCAAAAGAACGACATCTTCTGTGTGATGTCATCGATCAATATCAGTGTTTAACTCCACGTGTCATGACACTAATGACTATTTACAGCCAAATTAAAAGGTTTTTATTTTAATCAATATTTACAATACTTGTCTAAGGCCATGTTATCCTACATAGGGGGGTTGAGTAGATTCCCTTATTATGAAGACTACCACTTCGATGTGCAGAGAACAGAAAAGGCCGACCGATAGGATGAAAATCAACATTTGAAGCATATTTATTGGACAATTGCTATTTTGGATGGCAATTTGAGACTTCAGTGTGGAAAAATTACACTTTTTAATTTATCCGACGTAAAACACTAAATCGGCAAGTCTCGTCCCCCCAACAAAAAAAACATCAGTCAGGCTCTAATTATTTAATTATTTATAGCCTGAGCAGAGAAGACAGAAATAAACAGAGAAGTAATTTAATGAGAAGACAGTCCAAGGCCGTTCCGTTCATACCGAGCATGGAGAGGGAGAGAGAGCAAACATCCATTAGAGATGACGTGGCTTAGAGGATCTGGTCCAGGACTACTGTCATGAATTAGTCCTGTGCTCCTGTCCCAGTGTCCCTGTGTACAATACAGTGCCTTGCAAAAGTATTCATCCCCCTTGGCGTTTTTCCTATTTTGTTGCATTACAACCTGTAATTTAAATGGATTTTTATTTGGATTTCATGTAATGGACATACACAAAATAGTCAACATTGGTGAAGTGAAATGAAAAAAATAACTTGTTTCGAACAATTCTAAAAAATAAATAACGGAAAAGTGGTGCGTGCATATGTATTCACCCACTTTGCTATGAAGCCCCTAAATAAGATCTGGTGCAACCAATTACCTTCAGAAGTCACATAATTAGTTAGATTGCACACTGGTGGACTTTATTTAAGTGTCACATGATCTTTCACATGATCTCAGTATATATACACCTGTTCTGAAAGGCCCCAGAGTCTGCAACACCACTAAGCAAGGGGCACCACCAAGCAAGTGGCACCATGAAGACCAAGGAGCTCTCCAAACAGGTCAGGGACAAAGTTGTGGAGAAGTACAGATCAGGGTTGGGTTATAAAAAAATATCAAACTTTGAGCATCCCACGAAACACCATTAAATCCATTATTAAAAAGTGGAAAGAATATGGCACCACAACAAACCTGCCAAGAGAGGGCCGCCCACCAAAACTCACAGGACCAGGCAAGGAGGGCATTAATCAGAGAGGCAACAAAGAGACCAAAGATAACCCTGAAGGAGCTGCAAAGCTCCACAGCAGAGATTGGAGTATCTGTCCATAGGACCACTTTAAGCCGGACACTCCACAGAGCTGGGCTTTACGGAAGAGTGGCCAGAAAAAAGCTGCTGCTTAAAGAAAAAAATAAGCAAACACGTTTGGTGATCGCCAAAAGGCATGTGGGAGACTCCCCAAACATATGGAAGAAGGTACTCTGGTCAGATTAGACTAAAATTGAGCTTTTTGGCCATCAAGGAAAACGCTATGTCTGGCACAAACCCAACACCTCTCATCACCCCGAGAACACCATCCCCACAGTGAAGCATGGTGGTGGCAGCATCATGCTGTGGGGATGTTTTTCATCAGCAGGGACTGGGAAACTGGTCAGAATTGACAGAATGATGGATGGCACTAAATACAGGGAAATTCTTGAGGGAAACCTGTTTCAGTCTCCCAGAGATTTGAGACTGGGACGGAGGTTCACCTTCTAGCAGGACAATGACCCTAAGCATACTGCTAAAGCAACACTTGAGTGGTTCAAGGGGAAACATTTAAATGTCTTAGAATGGCCTAGTCAAAGCCCAGACCACAATCCAATTGAGAATCTGTGGTATGACTTAAAGATTGCTGTACACCAGCGGAACCCATCCAACTTGAAGGAGCTGGAGCAGTTTTACCTTGAAGAATGGGCAGAAATCCCAGTGGCTAGATGTGCCAAGCTTATAGAGACATACCCCAAGAGACTTGCAGCTGTAATTGCTGCAAAAGGTGGCTCTACAAAGTATTGACTTTGGGGGGGGGGTGAATAGTTATGCACGCTTAAGTTCTGTTTTTTTGTCTTATTTCCTGTTTAATTCACACACAAATATTTTGCATCTTCAAAGTGGTAGGCATGTTGTGTAAATCAAATGATACAAACCCCACAAAAATCCATTTTAATTCCAGGTTGTAAGGCAACAAAATTGGAAAAATGCTAAGGGAGGTTACTACTTTTGCAAGGCACTGTAGATAGATGGCCCAGCCAGTGCTCTGGCTCAGTGTAGGGGCTCTGGGTTCTGAAAGCTTGAATGTCCCACAGCCTGCCTGCCTGCTCTGACAGAGCTGGGGCGTGAGGTGAAGGGTCGTAGGTCATGTCAGGTCTGTCACCTCTGTACTGAGGTCCTACTGGACCCCCCCAGGTTCTGCTTCCCCTTGTGGTAGTCTCCCCCTGCCTGACCCCCCGGGGCCACCCTACCCTGCCTCGACCTCTGACCTTTAGCCTCTGGCTCTGAGTCACTGAGTTCCAGGTCCGGGCAGTATCCGTCCGTCTCCTGGTAGGGTGGTGATCTGGTACCACCGGGTCCCTGGGGGCCTCCAGGAGCTGGTTTGGCCCAGGGCCGGTCCTTGGCTGATCTGGAGCCTTTACCCCCCTGGGACAGCTTGTCCCCCCGCAGGTCCTCCGTGGTCCGCACCAAGCTGACCGTCGCCTCCTTGAACGACCGGCTGAAGTGCTCCATGGTGGAATCACTGAAGCTGGCTGATTGGCTGGCCTTAACCCCTGAACCCTCGCTGGTTTCCTGTTCACTGGGGGTCTGACAGGAGCTGTCCTTCTGGGTCACGCCCACCATCTTCTCCATCACGCCGTTGGATCTAGGGACGGGCCCCGCCCCCTCTTGGTCCAGTTTGCCATTTCCATTGGAAGAGTGGCCATGTAGGGCGGTGTGGAGCGCCAATGGTTTACCAGTCAGGGGCTTGCCAGTCAGGGGCTTGCCAGTCAGGGGGCTTGCCAGTCAGGGGCTTGCCAGTCAGGGGCTTGCCAGTCAGGGGCTTGCCAGTCGGTTTAATGGTCAGGGCTGAGCCTCTGGCTGTACTGTTGGTCAGTGCTGGTCCAGTGGCGGTACTGACCTCCCTACGTGACTGACCTGAGGTAGACAGACTGCCATTGGAGCGCTCCTCTCTCCTGCCTCGCCCCTGGAGCGGAGGCTTCCCCAGCCCCCCCCCTCCCTTCCCCACCCCCCCCTCCCTTCCCCAGCCCCCCTCCTCCCTTCCCCAGCCCCCCTCCTCCCCCACTGCGTTGGTGAACGTTCCCGCTGTTATCCGGACAGAGGGGGCCGTTGCCTGACTTGGAGCCGGTCTTCCCGTTACCCAGGGACACTTTGGGCATCTTCAGCTTCAGGGTGATTCTGGGAGGAGGCCGGAACAACATGCTCTCCACCGGGAACAAAACAGGCAGACCTGGAGAGAGACAAACACCAAGAAGGTCAATCAGAATTATGGGTTAGTCCACATCTCCTCCCATATAAACTATTAAAGGGGGCTAAAGTTCTGATTTGGCCTTGTTTTGCAGCTTGGTCATTAAGAAATGCAGTGGCGGCCATGACTGAAGCCAAACAAGTGTTGTCTTGGGGGGTGGGGTTAATGTCCGTTGAGTGTGTGTTCTCACATGATAAGCATTTGAACATAGACTCTGCCAAAACAGTGCACAGTCACTCACCCTTCTAGATAACATGAAACAGTCTAACCAGGTCTATGCTAGCTAGCCAACTTCTTTCGGCAATTAGCTTCAGCCGGCTGGTGTGCTACCGTGGCAAAGTTGGTTTGACATTGGATAGCCTATCTCTGGGGCTAGTTAGGGAAGGTCAATAAATTACACAATGTAAATGGGAAGATATTTTCATGTTGCACATCTTTTAGTTGTCTTATTAAATGCTTTCAATATTTGTAAACTAATTTCTACAATTAATAGTTGGTTTGAGGTTAAGTCATTGAAATTTGGAGCTACTGACAATTTATAATATTGTCCCATTTTGTACATTGTGTAATTTACTGATGGTCCCTAACTAGCCCCATAGGGATATCGAATGTCAAACCAACTTGACCATGGGCATTATGATCAGGTCGCATGCAGCTGTGCTTTGAAATGATGATTACTTGGGAGCTGCCAGCTGTGGGCAGGATTTAAATAAACTCAACCCAAGGAAAACGGTTACGGTGCCCTTCATTCGGTGACCATTTTTTTCCTATCATCTTGCAAATCTCAGTTTTGGAATAAAAAGTATCCTATTTACACTTTTAACACTAGAATAAATGTTTGACTCATATCGATGCCACATAGGCCATTTTCAAAACGAGTTGTTGCTTTTTAGGGACAGTGTCTGAAATATGTCTTGTCTACTACCTACTTAAAGAGCTAACTAATCATACTACTTAGAATGTACTGCTTTGTAAAACACAAATGCAGTAAACAACAAATATACTAGGCACCTCTATTCTCACAATTAGTCATCTAATGTGCGTTGAGTCCCACCACTCGTTAAGCGCGTCAATTTATCTGATTATCAGCTGTTGTCAAACACACGTCAGTCTGAAAATATGATTCTCTTCCTCAATAGTGTGCAGCGAATTCTAGTAGGTCAAATGCATAAATGAGTATGTCATCCTGGCATTTAAAGCATTGTAATTTCACATATAATTTATATTTTCACATATCCAAAATGCCTATTATTTAGAATGCAAGTACAGATATTCGGATATGGCCACACACACAGTCTCTTACCAGCGGAGACCTCCTGGTTGAGCAGTTTGACGTGGAGGTTGAAGATCTGCTCCTGGGCTTTGCTCTGAGACAGTTTCAGCTTTTCCCTCCGACTCACCATGTAACACAGGTTCCTCACCTGCAGGGGACACAACATGGCCGTCAGGTGAGCTAACAAATACTCACCCTAACCCTAACCCAGCCACCAGGTGAGCTAACAGATACTCACCAACACTCACCCTAACCCAGCCATCAGGTGAGCTAACAGATACTCACCAACTGATAGATTAATTATTAATGACTAATTATTACACCCTGAAACTGTGTATAATGTGTTAGAAATGTGTGAGTGTAGGACCAGTAAAGGCTATGGCATTGAGCCACTATTTAGCAATGTGAGTAAGAGTTAGACCAGACAACAAAGACAACTGAGAAACTAAGATAAAGAGGCCTCCCAATTTAGGGAGGGGAGAAACTGTTATGAAAACATGGTGCAGAATATTGTGAGAACGGCAATAACTGAGTAAAGCAGGGAGTAGGATATGTGTGTGTGTGTGTGTGTGTGTGTGTGTGTGTGTGTGTGTGTGTGTGTGTGTGTGTGTGTGTGTGTGTGTGTATGTGTGTGTGTGTGTGTATGCATGTGTGTGTGTGTGTGTGTGTGTATGCATGTGTGTGTGTGTGTGTGTGTGTGTGTGTGTGTATGCATGTGTGTGTGTGTGTGTATGCATGTGTGTATATGTGTGTGTGTGTGTGTGAACTGATGGTCAGTAGAGCAGTTTTAGAGTGGAAAACTACAGCCCGCCTACAGAGGGGAGGGATTTCTTTTGTATGACGTATGAGTATAAAGATGGACTCTGAAATTGTGATGGCAGAATTCTCAATGAATAAATATCTCTGACTATGCAGACCGGGACTCTGGCCGTTACTGAAATCCCAAAAGACTTACACCTGTTGGGAGACGCACAGAGACACTAAAATAGTTTTGTTTAAATAATTTCACATAACACCAACACTCACCCTAACCCAGCCATCAGGTGAGCTAACAAATACTCCACTAACACTCACCCGAACCACTAACAAGACTCACGAACACTTCACCCTAACACGACAAAGACGCACGAACACCGAACAGACCCGAAGGACGCACCAAGCTCGAACACAAGACGCACGAACGCGCACAAACCAACGCACCCGAACACGAACACTGAGAACGCGCACCCCGAACAAGACGCGCACCCGAACACCAACGCGCACCGAACACGAACGCGCACCCAACACGAACGCGCACCCGAACACGAACGCGCACCCGAACACGAACGCCACCGAACACGAGAACACGCACCCGAACACGAACGCGCACCCGAACACCAACGCGCACCCGAACACCAACGCGCACACGAACACCAACGCGCACCCGAACAACAACGCGCACCCGAACACGAACGCACGAACACGAACGCGCACCGAACACGAACCGCACCCGAACACGAACCCGCACCCGAACACGAACCGCACCCGAACACCAACGCGCACCCGAACGCGCACCCGAACGCGCACCCGAACAACCAACGCGCACCCGAAGCGCACCCGAACACCAACGCGCACCCGAACACGCACCCGAACACCAACGCGCACCCGAACACGCACCCGAACACCAACGCGCACCCGAACGCGCACCCGAACACCAACGCGCACCCGAACACCACCAACGCGCACCCGAACACCAACGCGCACCCGAACACCAACGCGCACCCGAAACACCAACGCGCACCCGAACACCAACGCGCACCCGAACACCAACGCGCACCCGAACACCAACGCGCACCCGAAACACCAACGCGCACCCGAACACCAACGGCACCCGAACACCAACGCGCACCCGAACCCAACGCGCACCCGAACAACAAACGCGCACCCGAACACCAACGCGCACCCGAACACCAACCCGCACCCGAACACAAACCCCAACCCGCACACACCGAACACCAACCCGCACCCGCACGCGAACACCAACGCGCACCGAACACCAAACGCGCACCCGAACGCGCACACCGAACAACCAACGCGCACCCGAAACACCAACGCGCACCCGAACACCAACGGCACCCGTAACACCAACGCGCACCACGAACACAAACAGGCACCCGAAAACACAACGACCACCCTGAACGCCACCAGAACACCAACGCGCACCCAACACCAACGCACCCGAACACCAACGCGCAACCCGAACACCAACGCCACCCTAAACAACCACTCTAAATAACACCAAAACTCAGCACCTAACACCAACCCTCACCCTAACACCAACCCTCACCCTAACACCAACTCTCACCCTAACACCAACTCTCACCCTAACACCAACTCTCACCCTAACACCAACTCTCACCCTAACTCTCACCCTAACACCAACTCTCACCCTAACTCTCACCCTAACACCAACTCTCACCCTAACTCTCTGTCTCCATCTGGTGGCTGTTTTAGATACATTGCGTCTCCACTGGGATGTATGAATTGATTAGGTCAAGCTACAGATTGATTCTATTGGATGGATCCTCTACATTTCACTACTTATGTGTGGATTTAGTTAAAATTGTGTGAAGGAAACAATTCTTTATTTGCCTATTTTAGCTTAAATTTTAGTGAATATCTAAGATTATATATATATATATATATATATATATATATATATATATATAAACTCAGCAAAAAAAGAAATGTCTTCTCACTGTCAACTGTGTTTATTTTCAGCAAACTTAACATGTGTAAATATTTGTATGAACATAACAAGATTCAACAACTGAGACATAAACTGAACAAGTTCCACAGACATGTGACTAACAGAAATGGAATAATGTGAACCTGAACAAAGGGGGGGTCAAAATCAAAAGTAACAGTCAGTATCTGGTGTGGCCATCAGCTGCATTACAGTGGCTTGCAAAAGTATTCACCCCCCTTGTTGCCCTACAACCTATATTAAAATGTTTGTGGGGTTTGTATCATTTGATTTACACAACATGCCTACCACTTTGAAGATGCAAAATATTTGTGTGTGAATTAAACAAGAAATAAGACAAAAAAAACAGAACTTGAGCGTGCATAACTATTCACCCCCCCAAAGTTAATACTTTGTAGAGACACCTTTTGCAGCAATTACAGCTGCAAGTCTCTTGGGGTATGTCTCTATAAGCTTGGCACATCTAGCCACTGGGATTTTTGCCCATTCTTCAAGGCAAAACTGCTCCAGTTCCTTCAAGTTGGATGGGTTCCGCTGGTGTACAGGAATCTTTAAGTCATACCACAGATTCTCAATTGGATTGTGGTCTGGGCTTTGACTAGGCCATTCCAAGACATTTAAATGTTTCCCCTTGAACCACTCCAGTGTTGCTTTAGCAGTATGCTTAGGGTCATTGTCCTGCTGGAAGGTGAACCTCCGTCCCAGTCTCAAATCTCTGGAAGACTGAAACAGGTTTCCCTCAAGAATATCCCTGTATTTAGCGCCATCCATCATTCCTTCAATTCTGACCAGTTTCACAGTCCCTGCCGATGAAAAACATCCCCACAGCATGATGCTGCCACCACCATGCTTCACTGTAGGGATGGTGTTCTCAGGGTGATGAGAGGTGTTGGGTTTGTGCCAGACATAGCGTTTTCCTTGATGGCCAAAAAGCTCAGTTTTAGTCTCATCTGACCAGATTACCTTCTTCCATATGTTTGCTTATTTTTTTCTTGAAGCAATGGCTTTTTTCTGGCCACTCTTCCGTAAAGCCCAGCTCTGTGGAGTGTACGGCTTAAAGTGGTCCTATGGACAGATACTCCAATCTCCGCTGTGGAGCTTTGCAGCTCCTTCAGGGTTATCTTTGGTCTCTTTGTTGCCTCTCTGATTAATGCCCTCCTTGCCTGGTCTGTGAGTTTTGGAGAGCGGCCCTCTCTTTGCAGGTTTGTTGTGGTGCCATATTCTTTCCATTTTTTAAATAATGGATTTAATGGTGCTCCGTGGGATGTTCAAAGTTTCTGATATTTTTTTATAACCCAACCCTGATCTGTACTTCTCCACAACTTTGCCCCTGACCTGTTTGGAGAGCTCCTTGGTCTTCATGGTGCCGCTTGCTTGGTGGTGCCCCTTGCTTATTGGTGTTGCAGACTCTGGGGCCTTTCAGAACAGGTGTATATATACACTGAGATCATGTGAAAGATCATGTGACACTTAAATAAAGTCCACCAGTGTGCAATCTAACTAATTATGTGACTTCTGGAGGTAATTGGTTGCACCAGATCTTATTTAGGGGCTTCATAGCAAAGGGGGTGAATACATATGCATGCACCACTTTTCCGTTATTTATTGTCAAATATTTTGAAACAGGTAATTTTTTTTCATTTCACTTCACCAATTTGGACTATTTTGTGTATGTCCATAACATGGAATCCAAATAAAAATCAATTTAAAGTACAGGTTGTAATGCAACAAAATAGGAAAAATGCCAAGGGGGCTGAATACTTTTGCAAGGCACTGTATAGGTCTAGTAGCCATCACCAGTGTATAGACTGTATAGGTCTAGTAGCCATCACCAGTGTATAGACTGTACGGTGACCTATGAAGGGATGGTTATGATATAATAATATAATAAGCCATTTAGCAGACGCTTTTATCCAAAGCGACTTACAGTCATGTGCGCATACATTTTTACGTATGGGGGTGGTCCCGGGGATCAAACCCACTACCCTGGCGTTACAAGCGCCGTGCTCTACCAATTGAGCTACAGAGGTGACCTGTGAAGGGTTGGATATGATATGTACGGTGACCTGTGAAGGGTTGGATATGATCTGTACGGTGACCTGTGAAGGGTTGGATATGATCTGTACGGTGACCTGTGAAGGGTTGGATATGATCTGTACGGTGACCTGTGAAGGGTTGGATATGATCTGTACGGTGACCTGTGAAGGGTTGGATATGATCTGTACGGTGACCTGTGAAGGGTTGGATATGATCTGTACGGTGACCTGTGAAGGGTTGGATATGATCTGTACGGTGACCTGTGAAGGATGGATATGATCTGTACGGTGACCTGTGAAGGGTGGATATGATCTGTACGGTGACCTGTGAAGGGATGGATATGATCTGTACGGTGACCTGTGAAGGGATGGATATGATCTGTACGGTGACCTGTGAAGGGTTGGATATGATCTGTACGGTGACCTGTGAAGGGATGGTTATGATCTGTACGGTGACCTGTGAAGGGTTGGATATGATCTGTACGGTGACCTGTGAAGGGTTGGATATGATCTGTACGGTGACCTGTGAAGGGTTGGATATGATCTGTACGGTGACCTGTGAAGGGTTGGATATGATCTGTACGGTGACCTGTGAAGGGTTGGATATGATCTGTACGGTGACCTGTGAAGGGTTGGATATGATCTGTACGGTGACCTGTGAAGGGATGGATATGATCTGTACGGTGACCTGTGAAGGGATGGTTATGATCTGTACGGTGACCTGTGAAGGGATGGATATGATCTGTACGGTGACCTGTGAAGGGTTGGATATGATATGTACGGTGACCTGTGAAGGGATGGATATGATCTGTACGGTGACCTGTGAAGGGTTGGATATGATCTGTACGGTGACCTGTGAAGGGATGGTTATGATCTGTACGGTGACCTGTGAAGGGTTGGATATGATCTGTACGGTGACCTGTGAAGGGTTGGATATGATCTGTACGGTGACCTGTGCCAGCTCAACACCTACGAATGTCGGGTGTGGAGTCCCCTAACCTAATTCCTCACCTGCAGGGGAAAACACGGCGGTCAAATTCTTCCTGTAAGACCCGGGATTCGAACTGGCAAACCCTGGCTACCTGCCACCCCATATAAGCACCCACCTCAGATCATAATATCACAGGGCTCAGAGAACTATACTGAACAAAAATAGAAATGCAACAAGCAACAATTTTACTGAGTTACAGTGCATTCGGAAAGTATTCAGACCCCTTCCATATTTTGTTACATTACAGCCTTATTCTGAAATTGATTAAATAAATGTTTTTCCTCATCAATCTACACACAATATCCTATAATGACAAAGCAAAACATGTTTTAGAAATATTTGCAAATGTCTTAAATATAAAAAACTGAAATATTTCATTTACATAAGTATTCAGACCCTTTACTCAGTACTTTGTTGAAGCACCTTTGGCAGCGATTACAGCCCTGAGTCTTCTTGGGTATGACGCTACAAGCCTGGCACACCTGTATTTGGGGAGTTTCTCCCATTCTTCTCTGCAGATCCTCCCAAGCTGTCAGGTTGGATGGGGAGCGTCGCTGCACAGCTATTTTCAGGTCTCTCCAGAGATGTTCGATCGGGTTCAAGTCCGGGCTCTGGCTGGGCCACTCAAGGACATTCAGAGACTTGTCCCGAAGCCACTCCTGCGTTGTCTTGGCTGTGTGCTTAGGGTCGTTGTCCTGTTGGAAGGTGAACCTTTGCCCCAGTCTGAGGTCCTGAGCGCTCTGGAGCAGGTTTTCATCAAGGATCTCGCTATACTTTCCTCTGTTCATCTTTCCCTCGAGCCTGACTAGTCTCCCAGTCCCTGCCGCTGAATAACATTCCCACAGCATGATGCTGCCACCACCATGCTTCACCGTAGAGATGGTGCCAGGTTTCCTCCTGACGTGACACTTGGCATTCAGGCCAAAGAGTTCAATCTTGGTTTCATCAGACCAGGGAATCTTGTTTCTCATGGTCAGAGTCCTTTAGGTGCCTTTTGGCAAACTCCAAGCGGGCTGTCATGTGCCTTTTACTGAGGAGTGGCTTCTGTCTGGCCACTCTACCATAAAGGCCTGATTGGTGGAGTGCTGCTGAGATGGTTGTCCTTCTGGAAGGTTCTCCCATCTCCACAGAGGAACTCTGGAACTCTGTCAGATAGACCATTGGGTTCTTGATCACCTCCCTGACCAAGGTCCTTCTCCATTTGGCCGGGCGGCCAGCTCTAGGAAGAGTCTTGGTGGTTCCAAACTTCTTCCATTTAAGAATAATGGAGGCCACTGTGTTCTTGGGGACCTTCAATGCTGATGACGTTTTTCGGTACCCTTCCCCAGATCTGTCCTCGACACAATCCTGTCTCGGAGCTCTACAGACAATTCCTTCAACCTCATGGCTTGGTTTTTGCTCTGACATGCACTGTCAACTGTGGGACCTTATATAGACAGGCGTATGCCTTACCAAATCCAATCAATAGAATTTAGTTGTAGAAACATCGAGGATGATCAATGGAAACAGGATGCCCCGGAGCTCAATTTCGAGTCTCATAGCAAAGGGTCTGAATACTTAAGTAAATATCATATTTCCTTTTTAATTTTTTAAATAAATTTGCACACATTTCTAAAAACCTTTTTTCGCTTAGTCATTATGGGGTATTGAGTGTAGATTGATGAGGACATTTAAAAAAACAAAAAAACAATTTTAGAATAAGGCTGTAACGTAACAAAATGTGGAAAAAGGAAAGGTGTCTGAATACTTCAGAATGCACTGCATATGGAAATCAGTAAATTGAAATAAATTAATTAGGCCCTAATCTATGGATTTCACATGACTGGGCAGGGGTGCAGCCATGGGTGGGCTTGGGAGGGCATAGGCCCACCCACTTGCCAGCCAGGCCCACTCACTGGGGAGCCAGGTCCAGCCAATCAGAATGAGTTTTTCCCCCACAAAAGGGCATTATTACAGACTGAAATACTCCTCAGTTTCATCAGCTGTTCGGGTGGCTGGTCTCAGACGATCCCGCAGGTGAAAAAGCTGGATGTGGAGGTCCTGGGGTTGTGAGGCCGGTTGGACGTACTGCCAAATTCTCTAAAACAACGTTGGAGGCGGCTTATGGTAGAGAAATGAACATTCAATTCTCTGGCAACCGCTCTGGTGGACATTCCTGCAGTCAGCATGTTATTTGCACACTCCCTCAAAACTTGAGACATCTGTGGCATTGTGTTGTGTAACAAAACTGCACATTTTAGAGTGGCCTTTTATTGTCCCCAGTACAAGGTGCACCTGTGTAATGATCATGCTGTTTAATCAGCTTCTTGATATGCCACACCTGTCAGGTGGATGGATTATCTTGGCAAAGGAGAAATGCTCACTAACAGGGATGTAAACAAATTCTTCCACAAAATTTGAGAGAAATCAGCTTTTTGTGCGTATGGAACATTTATGGGATCTTTTATTTCAGCTCACGAAACATGGGACCAACACTTTACATATTGCGTTCATATCTTTGTTCAGTGAAGTATAATTTAAAACGTGACCATCCGTATGAGTGTGTGGATGCTGTCTTCTAAAAACACAGTACAGCTTTAACAGTGTTTGTAGAGAGAAAGTTGAAGCAACAGTCGATGTACAATGAGTGTACAAAACATTAGGAACACCTTTCTAATATTGAGTTGCAACCCATTTTGCCCTCAGAATAGCACAATTCGTCGGGGCATGGACTCTACAAGTTGTTGAAAGCGTTCCACAGGGACGCTGGCCCATGTTGACTCCAACGCTTCCCACAGTTCTGTCAAGTTGGCTGGATGTCCTTTGGGTGGTGGACCATTCTTGATACACACAGGAAACTGTTGAGTGTGAAGAACCCAGCAGCGTTGCAGTTCTTGAAACAAATCGTTGTGCTTGGCACCTACTACCATACCCCGTTCAAAGGCACTTAAATATTTTGTCTTGCCAATTCACCCTCTGAATAGCACACGTACACAATCCATGTCTCAAGGCTTAAAAAAAAAATCCTTCTTTAACCTTTCTCCTCACCTTCATTAACACTGATTGAAGTGGATTTAACAAGTGACATCAATAACGAATCACAGCTTTCACCTGGACTCACATGGTCGGTCTATGTCATGGAAAGAACAGGTGTTCCTAATGTTTTGTATACTCAGGGTATATCTATATTAAACATCTAATCAATATAATATAAGTAATACTAACCCTCTCTAAGTCCTGTCGGAGGTGCATGAACATCCTCATGCGTGTGTGGATGCTGTCTTCATGAGGCAACAGCAGCAGGTTCTCCTCCTCACTAGGGGGCAGCAGAGCACGGTTGAAGTTGCTCTTCCTCTTCAGTTTCCAGTACTGGTAGATGAAGTCCAGCAGGGTGCGAGGTAGGCCCAGGTTCAGGGCCAGCTCCTCGGGGTGGATCAGAGTATAAAACCCCTCCTCCAGTTCTAATAACCTCTGGGCCCTCAGGCCCCCCCTCTCTGGGTCTATGGGGGGTTTGGGCCGGGCCGGGCTGTGGGCTGGCTGAGAGGGGCTGAGACCGGGGGCCGGTGGGTCCGAGGAGGCCTGGTTCTTGGGCTTGCTGTGCTTCAGGCAGTAGGACTTGAACTTCACCTCGTCTCCTTCATCCAGGATGGTCTTCATCTCCAGGCTGTGCTCGAAGGCACACGTCACATGGAACGGGATGGTGCAGTTCTTCACGGAGCACTGAGTGGGATGGAGGGAGAACAAGGTATGGGTTCATTAACTCAGGGGTACGGAGCACTGAGAGGGATGGAGGGAGAACAAGGTATGGGTTCATTAACTCAGGGGTACGGAGCACTGAGAGGGATGGAGGGAGAACAAGGTATGGGTTCATTAACTCAGGGGTTGTCAAAGTGGGGTCCACGGAGGTCCTGCAGATTTCAAAATATATATATATATAAAACATTTTACATTTCATTTTTTAATGAATATTACTAACAAATTAAACTCATTTTGGCCAAGGTATCCATTTAGAGGTTGTAATAAAATTTCATTATTAATCTACAATTTCTGTTCTTAACTCTGGGCAACATTGGCCTGAGAGGCTCCCAGGGATATTGGTATCCACAGTACCCCACCAATTATACATGTTTAAACTCAATACTTCTTGTAATACCCCCCAAAAATGTGTCAACATAAATGCACTGTAATTGAAGCTTGAAAACTGCAACGTTCTCTCTGCCTCTTGGCAAAATGTGTAGAATTGCAGGAAATGTGCTTGAAAACTGCTAAATGTTCTCTCCGATGCTAGGAGACGGGCCTTTAAAATGTTCCTTCCAAGGGCCCGAGACTAGGTTGGTATGGCCATGCACTGCCAGTCACAGTCAAACTCCTTACATGCTATTTCTATCTCACTGCAGTGGGGTCCCTGATTAATTTACTATCACAAAAAGGATCCCTAAAAGTTTGAGATCCCCTGACTTAACACACTTCACTAGCTAATACAAAAGATAAACCACACTACGAGTTACATAACTACAACAAACCAAGAGACTACGAACGTGAACAACAAACCAAGAGACTTGGTTCAGTCACACAGTCCAAGTACCATGCTCACCTGTATGCAGGCTCCAGTCTTCAGTTTACAGCTACCATGCTCACCTGTATGCAGGCTCCAGTCTTCAGTTTACAGCTACCATGCTCACCTGTATGCAGGCTCCAGTCTTCAGTTTACAGCTACCATGCTCACCTGTATGCAGGCTCCAGTCTTCAGTTTACAGCTACCATGCTCACCTGTATGCAGGCTCCAGTCTTCAGTTTACAGCTACCATGCTCACCTGTATGCAGGCTCCAGTCTTCAGTTTACAGAGGCTGCAGATGAGAGCCCAGCGGGACGGGGGGATGTGAGACACCTTGGTGATGGGCTCCATCCTCTCTGGACACGCTATGCTCACCTGCAGATACACAGGACCCTACTGTTAGATACACAGGACCCTCCTGTTAGATATACAGGACCCTCCTGTTAGATATACAGGACCCTCCTGTTAGATACACAGGACCCTCCTGTTAGATACACAGGACCCTCCTGTTAGATACACAGGACCCTCCTGTTAGATACACAGGACCATACTGTTAGATATACAGGACCCTCCTGTTAGATACACAGGACCCTCCTGTTAGATACACAGGACCCTCCTGTTAGATACACAGGACCATACTGTTAGATATACAGGACCCTCCTGTTAGATACACAGGACCCTACTGTTAGATATACAGGACCCTACTGTTAGATATACAGGACCCTCCTGTTAGATACACAGGACCCTCCTGTTAGATATACAGGACCCTCCTGTTAGATATACAGGACCCTACTGTTAGATACACAGGACCCTCCTGTTAGATATACAGGACCCTCCTGTTAGATACACAGGACCCTCCTGTTAGATATACAGGACCCTCCTGTTAGATACACAGGACCCTACTGTTAGATATACAGGACCCTACTGTTAGATATACAGGACCCTCCTGTTAGATACACAGGACCCTCCTGTTAGATATACAGGACCCTCCTGTTAGATATACAGGACCCTACTGTTAGATATACAGGACCCTACTGTTAGATATACAGGACCCTCCTGTTAGATACACAGGACCCTCCTGTTAGATATACAGGACCCTCCTGTTAGATATACAGGACCCTACTGTTAGATATACAGGACCCTCCCGTTAGATACACAGGACCCTACTGTTAGATATACAGGACCCTCCCGTTAGATACACAGGACCCTACTGTTAGATATACAGGACCCTCCCGTTAGATACACAGGACCCTACTGTTAGACAGCTTTACTGTTACCACCACATTCTGACAGACGGGTGAATGCGTAAAAAGGACAAGGGGTTGATTTTTACCTCAGGGATCCACAGGGCACAGCTGACGTGTGCCCACTTGGTGCCCGCCCTCGTAGCCTTCATCGCCCCTCCCTTGATGGGGCACAGCTGACACTGGGGGTCGATGCCCAGAGCACATGTCCTGCACAGCCAGTTACCCTCTGGCACCTTCACTATCCCATAGCACGCCTGGGCAGGAGAAGAGAGGTAGACGGTGGGTTAACAGGCATGCAGGGAGAGGAGGAGGAGAGAGAGACAGTAATTGAGAAACCTAGCCAAACAAAAACAGAGACCCAGAAAACCTGAGCCTACGCCTTCACTATGGTGAATCACTAAAACAATACAGAAATACACTACGGAGAAAGAAGGAACAGCCTGTCAGAAATCAGCTCAATGTAATTGAAGAATCCATAGACTCCAAGCACTTCTGGGAAAATTGGAAAACACTAAACAAACAACAACATGAAGAGCTATCTATCCAAAACGGAGATGTATGGGTAAACCACTTCTCCAATCTTTTTGGCCCTATAACAAAGAACAAACAGCAAAAACATATACATGATCAAATACAAATCTTAGAATCATCTATTCAAGACTACCAGAACCCACTGGATTCTCCAATTACATTGAATGAACTACAGGACAAAATACAAAACCTCCAACCCAAAAAGGCCTGTGGTGTTGATGGTATCCTCAATGAAATGATAAAATATACAGACCACAAATTCCAATTGGCTATACTTAAACTCTTTAACATCATCCTTAGCTCAGGCATCTTCCCCAATATTTGGAACCAAGGACTGATCACTCCAATCCACAAAAGTGGAGACAAATTTGACCCCAATAACTACCGTGGGATATGCGTCAACAGCAACCTTGGGAAAATCCTCTGCATTATCATTAACAGCAGACTAGTTCATTTCCTCAGTGAAAACAATGTACTGAGCAAATGTCAAATTGGCTTTTTACCAAATTACCGTACGACAGACCACGTATTCACCCTGCACACCCTCATTGACAAACAAACAAAGCAAAGCCTTCTCATGTTTTGTTAATTTCAAAAAAGCTTGAGACTCAATTTGGCATGAGGGTCTGCTATACAAATTTATGGAAAGTGATGTTGGGGGAAAAACATAAAATCTATGTACACAAACAACAAGTGTGCGGTTAATATTGGCAAAAAACACATTTCTTTCCACAGGGCCGTGGGGTGAGACAGGGATGCAGCTTAAGCCCCACCCTCTTCAACATATATATCAACGAATTGACGAGGGCACTAGAACAGTCTGCAGCACCCGGCCTCACCCTACTAGAATCTGAAGTCAAATGTCTTCTGTTTGCTGATGATCTGGTGCTTCTGTCACCAACCAAGGAGGGCCAACAGCAGCACCTAGATCTTCTGCACAGATTCTGTCAGACCTGGGCCCTGAGAGTAAATCTCAGTAAAGGTTGTTGCCAGGACCACGAATACAAATTCCATCTAGACACCGTTGCCCTAGAGCACACAAAAAACTATACATACCTCGGCCTAAACATCAGCGCCACAGGTAACTTCCACAAAGCTGTGAACGATCTGAGAGACAAGGCAAGAAGGGCCTTCTATGCCATCAAAAGGCACATAAAATTCGACACACCGAGGATCTGGCAAAAAATACTTGAATCAGTTAAAAGGAAGCGATTCCCAAACCTTCCATAACAAAGCCATCACCTACAGAGAAATGTACCTGGAGAAGAGTCCCCTAAGCCAGCTGGTTCTGGGATTCTGTTCACAAACACAAAGACCCACAGAGCCCCAGGACAGCAACACAATTAGACCCAACCAAATCATGAGAAAACAAAAATTTAATTATTTCCAATGTGTCAAGTAATTAACAAAAAAAAACTGAGCAAACTAGAATGCTATTTGGCCCTAAACAGAGAGTACACAGTGGCAGAATACCTGACCACTATGACTGACCCAAAATTAAGGAAAGCTTTGACTATGTACAGACTCAGTGAGCATAACCTTGCTATTGAGAAAGGCCGCCGTAGGCAGACCTGGCTCTCAAGAGAAGACAGGCTATGTGCACACTGCCCACAAAATGAGGTGGAAACTGAGCTGCACTTCCTAACCTCCTGCCAAATGTATGACCATATTAGAGACACATATTTCCCTCAGGTTACACAGACCCACAAAGAATTAGAAAACAAACCCAATTTTGATAAAATCCAACATCTATTTGGTGAAATACCACAGTGTGCCATCACAGCAGCAAGATTTGTGACCTGTTGCCACAAGAAAAGGGCAACCAGTGAAGAACAAACACCTTTGTAAATACTATTTGCACATCATTACAACACTGTAGAGATTTGAAACAATCTATTATTATGGAACTTTTGTGAGTAATATTTACTGTTCATTTTATTGTTTCATCTCACTTTTGTTTATTATCTATTTCACTTGCTTTGGCAATGTAGACATACGTTTCCAATGCCAATAAAGCCCTTAAATTGAATTGAATTGACAGTGGGTTAACAGGCACGGAGAGAGACAGCAGTGGGTTAACAGGCAGGGAGAGAGACAGCAGTGGGTTAACAGGCAGGGAGAGACAGCAGTGGGTTAACAGGCAGGGAGAGACAGCAGTGGGTTAACAGGCAGGGAGAGAGACAGCAGTGGGTTAACAGGCAGGGAGAGAGACAGCAGTGGGTTAACAGGCAGGGAGAGACAGCAGTGGGTTAACAGGCAGGGAGAGACAGCAGTGGGTTAACAGGCAGGGAGAGAGACAGCAGTGGGTTAACAGGCAGGGAGAGACAGCAGTGGGTTAACAGGCAGGGAGAGACAGCAGTGGGTTAACAGGCAGGGAGAGACAGCAGTGGGTTAACAGGCAGGGAGAGACAGCAGTGGGTTAACAGGCAGGGAGAGACAGCAGTGGGTTAACAGGCAGGGAGAGACAGCAGTGGGTTAACAGGCAGGGAGAGACAGCAGTGGGTTAACAGGCAGGAGAGACAGCAGTGGGTTAACAGGCAGGAAGAGACAGCAGTGGGTTAACAGGCAGGGAAGAGACAGCAGTGGGTTAACAGGCAGGGAGAGACAGCAGTGGGTTAACAGGCAGGGGAGAGAGACAGCAGTGGGGTTCAACCAGGCCAGGGAGAGAGACAGCAGTGGGGTTTAACAGGCAGGGAGAGACAGCAGGTGGGTTAACAGGCAGGGAGAGACAGCAGTGGGTTAAACAGGCAGGGAGAGAGACAGCAGTGGGGTATAACAGGCAGGGAGCAGAGACAGCAGTTGGGGTTAACAGGCAGGGAGAGCAGCAGTGGGGTTAACAGGCAGGGAGAGAGGACAGCAGTGGGTTAACAGGCAGGGAGAGAGACAAGCAGTGGGTTAACAGGCAGGGAGAGACAGCAGTGGGTTGTGAACAGGCAGGGAGAGACAGCCGTGGGTTTAACAGGCAGGGAGAGAGACAGCAGTGGGTTAACAGGCAAGGGAGAGAGAGACAGCAGTGGGTTAACAGGCAGGGAAGAGACAGCCACGTGGGTTAAACAAGGCAGGAGAGAGACAGCATGGGTTTAACAGGCAAGGGAGAGGAGACAGCAGTGGGTTAACAGGCATGGGAGAGAGACAGCAGTGGGTTAACAGGCAGGGAGAGACAGCAGTAGGTTAACAGGCAGGGAGAGAGACAGCAGTGGGTTAACAGGCAGGGAGAGAGACAGCAGTGGGTTAACAGGCAGGGAGAGAGACAGCAGTGGGTTAACAGGCAGGGAGAGACAGCAGTGGGTTAACAGGCAGGGAGAGAGACAGCAGTGGGTTAACAGGCAGGGAGAGAGACAGCAGTGGGTTAACAGGCAGGGAGAGAGACAGCAGTGGGTTAGATTAGATGTATTTATCATAAGGTGAATGCACCAATTTGTAAGTCGCTCTGGATAAGAGCGTCTGCTAAATGACGTAAATGTAAATGTAGGTTTTTAGTTATTTAGCACTCTTATCAAAAGCGACTTATAACCAGCGCATTTAACTAACGTAGATAAAACAACCACATCACACTAATTGTAAGTAAAACCCTTCTTCAAAATACCCACAATGCGCAAAATCAGTGCTTCTAGGTTTTTACCTGGTGAACACAGATGTTGCATTTGTCACAAAAGACCATGTCGTTGCCCTCCTCGCTGTCGGGGGACCGGCACACGTCACAGAGGACGTCCTCGTCGTACTCGATGCCCAGCCCTTCCACCGTGTCGATGGCGTGGTTCATGTTGTCATGACACTGGCGCTCCAACGCCTCCATGGTGCGCTCCAGCGTCAACTCGTCTACAGGCCCTTCCCCTGGGAGAGAGAGAATGATACACCAATCAGAACATGGCGTATCTACAGGTCCCTCCCTTGGGGAATGACAAGGAATAAACCACTGTTGCTACTGCTCCACGTCCCAGAGTAGAAAACCGCCCTCTTTTCCCCAAGGCTATAAAGTGCATTCGGAAAGTTGACTTCTTCCACATTTTGTTACGTTTCAGCCTTATTCTAAAATGGATTAAATACATGTTTTTCCTCATCAATCTACACACAATACCCTATAATGACAAAGCGAAAGGTTTTTTGAAATATATACAAATGTGTTAAAACCAGAAACACCTTATTTACATAAGTATTCAGACCCTTTGCTATGAGACTCGAAATTGAGCTCCGGTGCATCCTGTTTCCATTGATCATCCTTGAGACGTTTCTACAACTTGATTGGAGTCCTCCTGTGGTAAATTCAATTGATTGGACATGATTTGGAAAGGCACACACCTGTCTATATAAGGTCCCACAGTTGACAGTGCATGTCAGAGCAAAAACCAAGCCATGAGGTCGAAGGAATTGTCTGTAGAGCTCTGAGACAGGACTGTGTCGAGGCACAGATCTGGGGAAGGGTACTAAAAAATGTCTGCAGCATTGAAGGTCCCCAAGAACACATTGACCTCCATCATTCTTAAATGGAAGAAGTTTGGAACCATCAAGACTCTTCCTAGAGCTGGCCGCCCGGCCAAACTGAGCAATCGGGGGAGAAGGGCCTTGGTCGGGGAGGTGACCAAGAACCCGATGGTCACTCTGACAGAGCTCCAGAGTTCCTCTGTGGAGATGGGAGAACCTTCCAGAAGGACAACCATCTCTGCAGCACTCCACCAATCAGGCCTTTATGGTAGAGTGGCCAGACGGAAGCCACTCCTCAGTAAAAGGCACATGACAGCTTGCTTGGAGTTTGCCAAAAGGCACCTAAAGACTCTGAGACCATGAGAAACAAGATTCTCTGGTCTTTGGTCTGAATGCCAAGCGTCACATCTGGAGGAAACCTGGCACCATCCCTACGGTGAAGCATGGTGGTGGCAGCATCATGCTGTGGGGATGTTTTTCAGCGGCAGGGACTGGGAGACTAGTCAGGATCGAGGCAAAGATGTACAGAGAGATCCTTGATGAAAACCTGCTCCAGAGCGCTCAGGACCTCAGACTGGGGCGAAGGTTCACCTTCCAACAGGACAACGACCCTAAGCACACAGCCAAGACAACCCAGGAGTGGCTTCGGGACAAGTCTCTGAAAGTCCTTTAGTTGCCCAGCCAGAGCCCGGACTTGAACCCGATCGAACATCTCAGGAGAGACCTGAAAATAGCTGTGCAGCGATGCTCCCCATCCAACCTGACAGAGCTTGGGAGGATCTGCAGAGAAGAATGGAAGAAACTCCCCAAATACAGGTGTTCCAAGCTTGTAGCGTCATACCCAAGAAGACTCGAGGCTGCAATCGCTGCCAAAGGCGCTTCAACAAAGTACTGGGTAAAGGGTCTGAATACTTATGTAAATGTGATATTTCTGTTTTTTTAAACCTGTTTTTGCTTTGTCACTATGGGGTATTGTGTATAGATTGATGAGTGGAAAAAACTATTGAATCAATTTTAGAATAAGGCTGAAATGTAACAATATGTGGAGAAAGTCAAGGGGTCTGAATACTTTCCGAATGCGCTGTATCTCAATAGTGTGAAATCTATCTTTGGTCGCCTCCTGTCTACTTGTCAACACATCAGAGAGACGTGAGGAGAGAACTAGGAGAGGCTTTAGAGAAACAGCCTAATGTTCCTCTTCCCACAATTACCCATGTGTCCTAGCTCAGCGTTGAGAGCCTGCAGCCAGTAGAGGTCCATGTCATCCAGATCATAAGGACACATGGCCTCAGCCAGCTCCTTGATGTTAACATAACCCGTCTCTGTAGAGTCCTGACTCCAGCACTGGATATACCTCCTCTGGAGAGTGAACAACACCTCCTTAGGCTTCTCCGCTATGTTCCTAGACACAGACCCACGCCCACCACAGACACAATGAGAAATTGCTAGCAGTGTCTAGTAATCAGACAAATCAGCATCAGTTCCTGAGGTCGAGAGACAAGTAGAGGTGTTGTATGGTTACCTGATGGAGGGCTGTGGGATGGTTTCGGGGAAGGCCGGCACCTGCACCCCCTTCTCCCACTCCTGTCTCCAGGTGTCCCCCAGCAGGTAATAGTCTTCAGGGGAGACATGGTGAGAGTCAGGCAGCTTCATGGCACTGATCAGGTCTTTCCTGAACACCTGGGGAGGGAGGAGAGGAGGGGGGGGGGGTTGACACTTAAATACATATATTACATTGTCTGCATCCCAAATGGCACCCTATTCCCTATATAGTGCACTACTTTAGACCAGAGAATGGCACCCTATTCCCTATATAGTGCACTACTTTAGACCAGAGAATGGCACCCTATTCCCTATATAGTGCACTACTTTAGACCAGAGAATGGCACCCTATTCCCTATATAGTGCACTACTTTAGACCAGAGAATGGCACCCTATTCCCTATATAGTGCACTACTTTAGACCAGAGAATGGCACCCTATTCCCTATATAGTGCACTACTTTAGACCAGAGAATGGCACCCTATTCCCTATAATAGTGCACTACTTTAGACCAGAGAATGGCACCCTATTCCCTATATAGTGCACTACTTTAGACCAGAGAATGGCACCCTATTCCCTATATAGTGCACTACTTTAGACCAGAGAATGACACCCTATTCCCTACATAGTGCACTACTTTAGACCAGAGCCCTGTGGGGACTAGGGTGCTATTTGGGACACATGGTTGTGTGTGAAGAACACAGGAAGCGGATGTGAGCTGTTCAGGAAAGGAACATCAGCGTAGCGCTACCTCTGCTGGTTTCCTGGGCATGGAGGCGGGGGTTCCAGGTTTACTTCCATACTTGTTGGATGAGCAGAAGGAGGTGGAAGGACCTGAGGAGTACAAGGTAGAAGGAGGGTTAGAGAGAGGTAGAGGAGGGTTAGAGAGAGGTAGAGGAGGGTTAGAGAGATGGTAGAGGAGGGTTAGAGAGAGGTAGAGGAGGGTTAGAGGGAGGTTGGTCAGAGGAAGGGTTAGAGCAGAGGTAGCAGGCGGTAAGAGAGGTACAGGTCGGGTTAGAACGCGAGGTCGCGGCGGTTCGCGGCCGGTTAGAGGGTAGGGGAGTGAGGGGTAGAGGGCGAGGTGGTTAGAGAGAGGGGAGGGGTTAGGGTAGAGTTAAGGAGGGTGGGGGGTAGAGAGAGGTAGGAGGGTTAGAGGGAGGGTGTTGAGGGGTTAGAAGTAGAGGAGTAGAGGGTCGGCGGGTTGGCGCGTTGCGGTGGGTTGGCGGGGTTGGGGTCGGGGTTGGCGAGGTTGCGGTAGGGGGTTGGGTGGGGTCTGGGTGGGGTTAGAGGGGGTAGGGGTGCGAGGTGAGGGTAGAGGAGGTTGAGGAGGGGTGTAGGGGGTTGGGAGGTGGCGGGGGTTCAGAGGGTAGAGGAGGGTTGAGAGAGGTTCGAGGAGGGTAGAGGAGGTAGAGGGGTTGCGAGGCGGGGTTGTCGAGGGTGGGCGGGTTCGGAGGTCGGGGGTCCGCGGGTTCAGGAGGGTCGACGGCGGGTTAGGCGGGTCGGGGGTTGATCGCGCGAGTCGCGGGGGTTCGCGCGCGGTCGCGGCGGGTTGCGGGGTCGGGGGTTGCGGGGGTGGCGGGCGCGTAGGGCGGCGGCGAGGTAGGGCGGGTTGTGGTCGGGGTCGCGGGGTTCGCGGGGTCGAGGGGCGGGGTTAGCGCGGGTCGGGGGGGTTGAGGGGTGACGGCGGGTTGGCGCGGTCTGGGCGGGTTGAGGGGTCGGTCGGGGGGTTAGGCGGGTGAGGGGGTTCGCGGGGTAGGGGGGTTCGGCGCGGCGGGGGTTCGCGCCGCGGTCGGGAGGGGGTTACGGGCGTGCGGGGTTGCGGAGTCGGGCGGGTTGGGGTCGGGCGGGTTCGGAGGGTCGGGAGGTTGGAGGTGGGTGCGGGTGAGGGTTAGGGGGTGGGGGGTTGAGGGGTGGGGTTGGGGGTGGGAGGGTTCGCGGGGTTCGCGGGGGTTCGAGGGTGCGGCGGTTCGGGGGGCGGGCGGCGGGTTGGGCGTGACGGGGGTTGGGGTCGGGCGGGTATTAGGGGTCGGGGGGTTCGGCGGGTCGAGGCGGGTTCGAGCGCGGGCGGCGGGTTGCGGGTCGGGGGTTGAGGGGTGCGGGGTTGGCGCGGTGGGGGCGGTGGCGGTCGGGCGGGTTGCGCGGTCGGGCGGGTTCCGCGGGTGCGGGGGTCGCAGCGCGGTGGGGGTAGGGCGGGTCGGGGGTGAGGGGGTTGGGGGGTGCGGGGGTTCGGCGGTCGGGAGTGGGGGTCTTGCGGTGAGCGGGTTCGAGGGGTTCGGGGTGCGCGGGTTCGGGGTCGGGGGTGGGGGGTTGCGGGGTGGGGGGTTCGCGCGGGTGCGGGGGGTTCGCGCGGTCGGGGGGTTTCGCGCGGGTGCGGGGTTGGCGTGCGGCGGGTTCGCGGGGTGGGGGGTTGAGCGGGTCGGGGGGTTCGGGTGCGGGGGTTCGCGTGGGCGGTCGAGGGGGTTCGCGGGAGGGGGTGCGGCGGGTTGGGCGGTTGCGGGGGTTCGCGGGGTCCGGGTTGGGCGGTCGGGGGGTTGGGCGGTCGCGGCGGGTTAGCGGGGTGCGGGGGTTCGGTTAGGGGGTTTGCGAGAGTTGAGGGGGTTAGGAGGTAGAGGAGGGTTGAGGGGTGGGGGGTTGGGAGGTAGGGAGGTTAGGGGGGTAGAGGAGGTGAGGGTTAGGGGGTAGAGGAGGGTTAGGGGTTCGCCTTGCGAGGTTAGAGAGAGGTAGAGGGGTTTTGGAGGTTCGAGGGGGTTGCGCGGTCGGGGGTCGCGGGGGTAGGCGGTTCGGAGGGGTTGAGCGGGCGGGTTGCGCGGGTTGCGGGGGTTAGCGGGGTGGGGGGTTGGGGGGTAGGGGGGTTCGAGGGTGGGGGGTTCGGGGGTGGGGGGTTGCGCGGTGGGGGGTTCGGCGGTGCGGCGGTTTGCGTCAGCGTGCGGCTGGCGGGTTGGCGGGTTCTCGGGTCGGCGGTTTCGGCGGTCGCGCGGGACGCCGTGGGTGCCGGGGTTCGCGCGCGGCGGTCGCAGGGGTTCGCGCGGTGGGCGGGTTTGCGGCGGGTCCGGCGGGTTCGGCGTCGCGCGGTTGGCGGGTTCGCGGGGTTCGGCGTTCGGGGTTCGCGCGCGTGCGCGGTTGGCGTCAGTCGGCGGGTTCGCGGGGGTTCGGGGGGGTTGGCGTTCGCGGGGTTCGCGCGTCGCGGCGGGTTGCGGGGTAGCGGGTCGCGGCGGGTTCGCGCAGGTTCCGGGGTTTTGGTCCGCGGTGCGGGTTGCGGGGTCGAGGCGGGTTCGCGCGCGTCGCGCGGGTTTCGGGAGCTGGGGTTCGCGCGGGCCGAGCGGGTTCGGCGCGTCGGGGGGTTGGCGCGGTCGGGCGGTTTCCGCGCGGCTCGCGGGTTCGCGCGGTGCGGGGGTTCAGCGGCGGCGGGTTTCGGGGGAGCGGTTCGGGGTTGGGGGGCGGGGGGTTCCGCGGTCGGCGGGTCTGCTGGCGGTCCGGCGGGTTCGGGGGGGTTCGCGGTGGGGGTTCGCGGGCGCGGGGGTTTAGAGAGAGGTAGGCGGTAGTCGCGAAGTGCCGGCGTGCGGTCCATTCATCGAGCTTGCGTAGATCGGAGTTTTGCTTTCACGTTCTGGGCAAGTTTCTTCATCTGAGCAAACTCGTATCGTGGGGTAAAAAGGGATTCTTCATTGTATGTGAATCGAGCATTTTTAAACGTTTGAAATGATTGCCCAACTTTGAATCAAATGATGAGATCTCTCGGACCCAATTGAAGTGAGGTTTTACGTCAGGTTTAATTGAATTTGGAGTTATCGGTACCGGTAAGAGGAACGTATGGCCGTCTTGTTGACTTGCGGCAAAGTCAGGGGTTAGGACACGGTCATGTTGAGAACTTGCACCAGCTCGAAAATTTCGGGCAGATGGACCGTATGTTTAAATACGAATTAAAAGTGGATATCTGTTAGACAGTGTTTCTCTGACGGTCGTGGTTTATCGACTCCAGTAGGGGGGACACTCATGTCAGAACGGTCAGCGTGAGACTCCTTTATATCTTATCCTACAGGGGGGCATAGCAAACATGGACAGGCTTAAAAATGTCGCAAATTCCTGTACCTATTATAAACATTAGGGACATTAACCCCGTCCCTTCGCCGTCCTTCCACTTCGCGTAATTCGTGTCAAACTTTTCTTATAAGACCCCTAATGGAAAACAAAGTTAAAAACCATTTTTTCTAAATTTGGTAGTCTAGCAAAAAATGCATCTTTGGTTTATCAAATTGCAACACAAACTCTGCCACACTGCTTTCAAACCAACTCGCGTTCTTGGAATTATGTATTTTGGGGGTCCCAAACCCGGCCGGGGCCGTTAGAGGGTTGTACATTTTTGGCCTAAAATCCCCCAAAGTATTCACCCCCCACTCATTTTTCCACATTTTGTTGTTACAAGGTGGAATTAAAATGGATTTAATTGTCATTTGTTGTCAACGATCTATACAAAATACTCCAATGTCGGAGTGGAGGAAAATTCTAAAATATGAAGAAAACATATATATCTTGATTACAATTACATTTTAGTCATTTAGCAGATGCTCTTATCCAGAGCGACTTACAGTTAGTGAGTGCATACATTTTCATACTGGCCCCCCGTGGGATTAGATAAGTATTCAGCCCCGAGTCAATACGTTTGAATCACATTTGGCAGTGATTACAGCTGTGAGTCTTTCTGGGTAAGTCTAAGAGATATGCACACCTGAATTGTACAATATTTGCACATTATTGGTTTTAAAATTCTTCAAGCTCTGTCAAGTTGGTTGTTGATCATTGTTAGAAAGTCATTTTCAAGTCTTGCCATAGATTTTCAAGCAGATTTTAGTCAACTGTAACTAGGCCACTCAGGAACATTCAAATGGTAAGCAACTCCAGTGTAGATTTGGCCGTGTGTTTTAGGTTATTGTCCTGTTGAAAGGTGAATGTCTCCCCAGTGTCTGGTGGAAGCAACTGAACCAGGGTTTCCTCTAGTCTCCCATGTCTGGTGGAAAGCAGACTGAAACCAGGGTTTCCTCTAGTCTCCCAGTGTCTGGGTGACAGCAGACTGAACCAGGGTTTCCCTCTAGTCTCCCAGTGTCTGGTGGACAGCAGACTGGACCAGGGTTTCCTCTAGTCTCCCAGTGTCTGGTGGACAGCAGACTGAACCAGGGTTTCCTCTAGTCTCCCAGTGTCTGGTGGACAGCAGACTGAACCAGATACTCCTTAGTCCCCAGTTGTCTTGAAAGCGGGAATTAAAATGGATTTATTGTCCCCATTTGTTGTCAACGAACTAACCAGAATACTCCAAGTGTCGGGTGGAAAAAGCAAGAATGAAAAAACCATACCTCTATATATTCTATAATAATTTTGAACATTTTAGTCATTTTAGCAGATCTTAACCAGGGTCCTTACTCAGTTCGTGGAAGCAATGCCCATTTCTCTAGGTCCCCCATGTTGGGGATTAAGATAACATTTTCTATCCCCGAGTTCTATACAGTGTGAACACAGTTTGCCTAGTCTAGATGTCGCTGGAGTCTACTGGGAACAGTACTCCTAGTCTATGCACACCGAATGAACCAATTTTAGCCCCATTCTTGGACTAGAGAAATCCAGTACCTGTCCAATTTGTTGGTGACAGCATGACTGAAAGTCTATTTCCCCGGGTCTGTGCCATAGAGCACGACAGGGTTTTAGTCTCCCAGTGTCTGGTGGAAATTCAACTGAACCAGTGTTTCCCTAGTCTAGTCTCCAGTGTCGGTGAAAGCAGACGACAGGGTTTCCTCAGTCTCCGGTCTGGTGAAGCAGACTGAACCAGGGTCTCCCTCTATAGGACTTTTGCCCTATGCTTAGCTCTATTCCGTTTCCTTTCCCCCCCCCCCCCCCCCAAAAAAAAAAAAAAACTATAGTCCTTGCTGATGACAAGCATACCCATAACATGATGCAGCCTCCACCATGTTATAAAATATGAAGAGTGTTGTGTTGGATTTGCCCCAAACATAACGCTTTGTATTCAGGACATAAAGTTAATTTCTTTGGCCACATGTTTTGCAGTTTAGCTTTAGTGGC